ATCTTGGATGCATAATTATTTAGATATATCTCTGAAACCTCTCATGGTACCAAAGACCACCATGATAGACATTTTGCTAATATGCTCTACACACCTTAATGTTGGACAAGAGATTTATTTAAGAACTACTGAAATGTAATTTGGACTTGCAATGAAACACATTGCTCTATCTTCAGAATTTAGAATGAATGCACTCATTACCTGGAATTAGATATCAAATCAGGGAATGAGAGATCTCCATAGTAAAATAAAAACATTAACCAAGGGAAAAATAGAAATTAACAAATTTAACTCCTTGATAGTTTTCAGTTTTCATTGCTAAAAGACTTGCCTGCTTTAATTATACCATTATCAGAAACCTGCATCTTAATGCATGGCAGCTGTATACAAAAGACCACTGCTTTAAATCACACCACACAGATATCTGCTCTGATAAATTTGCCTGCATGATTCTTATCTTAATTCCTATCAGAAATCTGTATTCACATACAAGGAAAATGAGACCACTTCAGCCAAACCCCCTCCCTCATCTGACAGCCAGAAAATAAACAAAAGTGAGTTTCTGCTTAGCATGCCCACAATACCAACGCAATACAAACAGAGTTTGGTACACCCAGTTTTTCAACACTAAATCCAACGGTTCTGAATTCTTAATTTTTATTTGTAAATATATATATTTATATGAAAAACGTTTAAAACTCCAGTCATCAGGGTCAGATGTATAAATTTAGAAAAAAATAATTCATCTGAAATTTAGGGGAAAAGCATGTTAAATGACAAAGTAATTACTGCTTAAGTTAACAAAACTTTGGACAAAAGCTGTGTAAGACTTATTAGAAGGATCGATAGTGTTGATAGGTTGGTTATAACTGTGCATAGTACAGCCCTTCTCATCTCTTCATTATCAGCTGATAGTGATCTCTCCATGCCTTAGGTCCCTAGGGACTCATATGCATAGCCCTAATTACCAAATTAGGGTCCAGTTACTACAATCAGCAAGCAAAGGCATGTTTAAAGGCATCTGGGCTCCAACGCACAAATTATCTGTCCAACAAAATTTAGAGAAAATTATCCAGATCATTTGGTTGCCATGGAAATTAAAGATTCCATTAAAAAATGTGGAGATGCTATGATGCATTATGGTATAAATGAGATGAAAGATATAAACTGCCTTTGATGATTACATAGAACATTTCTGAATAACTTCAGTCATTTCAATCAATACAGAAAGTACTACACTTAACATGCTATACATGTATTTAACAAACAATAAGCCATGTCCCCATTAAGCCCACCTCCTTCATTAACTTTACACGAAGGTCAAGTATTTCTTGTTGAGAAAATACATTCCTTTTAAATATTGAAATAAATATCAATATTTCAGATTTGAAACTCTAAACATTCCGGGAATAAGTATTTTTCAAATATGCTCAGAAATGGTTTAGCTTCTCAGAAATTAAAGCTGTGATCATAAGAATATCATTTATAAAACAACGTGAAAATGATACTTCACAATCAAGTTCTTTTCAATTCTTATCACCTTAACTTACATTTGAGAAACAATTTAACAGAATCTTGATTGCAAAATGCAGAACATACCACCATGGCAGCCATTCAAAATAATCAAATCTTACACTGAATTAGTAATAGTCAATTGAATTGTTAGGAATTATATGAATAATATAAACAATTTTATCACACACTAAATTTGGATCACTGTAAATGTCAAATGGATTAAAGAGTTACAGCCCTTTATTTGTAATGTGTTGCAGATGTCTCATTAGAAGTTGAGGAACCTGGTTTGCTTTTTATCTACTTTTTTATAACTTGATACACAGATTACTTAAGAAAATATCTATTCTTTTAAATTAAAACATATACGGACAGTACCTTTGTCTCCTTGGCTGTCATACAAGTGAAACACTGAACTCTGAAAATAGGAAGCACTGGTATAAATTATATATTTTTTTTCCAAATTAAGGATTTCTGTGTTGAGAACATATCTGCAAGAATACTTATTAATCTTAAAGTAAGTACATGTGATTTTTTTTACGTTATTGTCTTCAAATTGTAAAGAAACAACAAAAAATTGTTTATGGAAATTTATTTGTAATTATGGCTTATGAACGGAACAAGGCATGCAATGGAAGATTCATGGTGTGTATATTGTTCAAGTCATTAATCTTTTGGTAAAATTTTCATAACTGAAGAAAAAAAAAAAAAAAATGACACACTTTATTTCAAGGACAGTTCCATCAAAGACTCCTTGGAACAAGCAGGTTATTAGTACTGATAGGTAAAATAGTTTTTTTTCAACGATGACTTTTTGTTAAAAGCAAACAAAAGATGGAGTTTATGTTGAAACCATTAAGACAATTCTAAAACTGTAACAAAACATCAAAATTGGCAGGTGCGTGATAAAATGTTTAGCACACTGTCATGAAAAAACTTAAATACAGGTATACACAATTTGATTTTATCTGGAGGTAATTTTCATCCATGCAAATAGATGCCCCCATACATTTTCTATAGCCTACGAAAATGCTCATACAAAAAATTTAAAACGGAAATAGAGTTACGGTTCATAAATTGTAAAACTGTATATCTATAGAAATTTGATACAAAACTGGGTCTGTTGTATAACTACAGGTGCACAGCATACCAGATAATGGCTTAGAAATTAGATAATCCTTCCATATATGTTTCCTATTGAAGAGAACCCTTCCGCAGATCAATCATAACACTGGTGTTAAGATATTGATAGCTTAACGTTTTCTAAAATAAAATTTCAAAAACATATGAATCCTTAAAATGAAAGAAAGAAAAAACCTGAAGTTTCATCAAGTAACTATTGATTCACATTAGTTTAATCAATATTCTTTTCTGCATGGAAAATGTCTTCTGACATTTTACTTATATCAATTTGTTAATCTAACAATACTTTATGTAAATGAAACTTGCTAGACTATTGAAACACTAAAGGTGTCTACCAAAATTCAAGATCTTGTCTTTAATTATAATGAAAAGAGATTGTGTCTCGTATCATGCTTCAAAACCAGAAAATGATTTATGAAAATTGATATAAGCATATTATTCATTCTTCACAGTGAATATTTAAAAAGAATTTAATTTAAAGAAAAAGAAATCAGAATCCATGCCAGGTATATAGTATAGTTACCAACATAACATAAAATAACATAATTGAAAATGATTGGGTGGTCCTTCATAAGTTTAATCGCTTGAAAATTCAGAAAATATAAAAAAAACCTGAAATTAGCACACTAGACTTATCAATCATGTCTGGCTATTTTCACTGAGAGAATTTGATATTTTTAAATTTAAGGCTGAGAGCACATGACAAATACCAAGTAATGACACACGATATATATATACTGTTATTTATATCGTTATCAAGTGGTCTATTTCATATTTCATTAAGCAATGTTGTGATCAGACTGTGAAAATAGCATGGAATAGAGAAATCTTTCAGACCACTAAACCATGATTTATTGAGTACCGTTGCTGATATTATACTTTTAAAATGAAAACTGCAATTTTGAGAATACCAAACATTTCAAAGAGTGACATTTGTCATTTATCAAAAACAAAAATGTGACAAAATCAGGAAATATCTGTGAAAATCAATATTTGCTCATACACCAATGAATATAAGGAAATATTCAAAGTACCTGTATGTTGAGTGATGTTACCTGCTTAAATCTACTGATTCAGCTATCCAGTATTGGTTTCTGACTGCTGATTTAACCTCATGCTATGATACTCTGAGCAGTTTTTGTTTAGCTGAAAGCTGAGATCTCTAAACTTCTATGATTTTGTGGTGGTGTACTTTGGCAAACCAGTCCGACTATGTTGCTCGAGACGATGGGCTTTCAATATGTTGCTCAATGAAGTAGTCACCTGCTACTTTAAGGAGACCCCGACTATGTTGACAGCAATATACCCAGTAAACATTAAAACAATTGCACATTGTGTGTAATATAAAAGATGGCAAAATAAATTCACTTGTGTGTGCCCCCGATATCTGCATAAGGCTGTTTTCAGTTACATCAACATGTATTTGATCTGTATTTGTGATAATATGGGAAAATGATAATGAAAGCAGAATTATTCCAGCATTTTGAAGTTTAAATAGAATTCTTGAAAAGAACATTTTAAAGATTTAGCTTTAAAAAACCTGCATTATTGAAACATTTTCATTTTACAGAAAAATAAATTGTTTCCATAAAAAATTCTGAGGATTTCATTGCAAGACTTCAATTTGTAACAAGACGCATAACTAAAATAAAAATCTTTACATACCATTTCCCTTTGTGAAATAAGAACCATAACTCTCAAATTATACATCCCTGGTCAAAGGCGATAAATATTCACATACAAGTTAGCCTACCAAGCTGTATAAATTGGTACCTGTAAGTCGGGGAAGTGATCTGAAAGCCCTTATAGTGTCTGATTACAAAGTTTGATGTCTCAGAAGTCAGATAAGAATAGTCAATACAAGTCAAATTCTATTTTTTCAACATGCAAGCTTATAAATCACAAGAAAATAACTAATGATAAAGGAAAGGGAAAAAACTTCGATGAAACAAAAAAATACATCAATCATGAGACTTGGAGCTATCACCGGATGACTCGGACAGTATTGTCATACGTATCTTGAAAATTAAATAATATACACATTATCGTCTCACTCCCCTAAAAACCTTGCTCCCTTGGGATTCAGGTCGCCTTGGGGGTTCCTTTGCTTCAGGCGGACCCCTTGATACTATGCCTCTAGGCTCAGTGCATCTGTCTCATATTTACATTCCTCAATACACACGGCTGCAACCCTATTTACAACATAAACTCGTCCTACGGAAGCAAAATTGATTGGCTGATTGCGTACAAAGAAATGGAGGTGATTTAAGGTCACGGTATGGTCCCATTATTATAGAGGGGTGTAAAGGGCACTAATGTATTGGGTCGGCTCATGTGCTTGCTCTGTAGTTGAAATGAGAGGTAGCAGGCAGTTTCTCTCTGGATCTTGGATGTTTTTATTAGCAAAGCTAGCTACCTCGTGTTAACTCTGTGTGTTTGTGATAATTTTCACTGCATATATAATTGGACCAGTAATTAGTGTCGCCATCGCTCTCTGGATGTTTAAAAAGTACAAGTTAGAAACTCTTGGTAAGTAAAACTATACCAGTATATGTACATCTTCCCATCTTTTAACAATGGTGGAAATGATGAATTTGATGATTTTTATATGAATCAAAATCACTGTTTTGCTCTGGTGTATATAAATCTCACTTGACATAGATTTCAGACTGTATCAACATAATTACTCATTCAATTGATAATAATAGCTCCCATTGTGAATGATTTTTTTTGCATAATCATTACTTTTTGAAATTGTAGTATATATAGTACCATAAAAATGGCAACTCATTGTCAACATTTCCAGAAGGTTTTATAAAGTAAAGAAAGGGCTTAGAAGAGTCTGTGTTTTAAAATAATGTAACTTGTGGTGAAATACAAAAACAGACCCCACACAGATCTCTAACTCGGAGAAACAGTTTTGTGTTACTATGAGGGAGGTCGAGAGAACCACATGCAGAGATTACAAAATCAAAATCTAGCATTTTAATGTGTTCTTTGTATGGACCTATAGTCCGATCATATACCAAGTACTGTTCTTGAAAGTTTGAATTTAAATTAAAAAAAAGTATGTATACATGTAAATCGGAATAAATCATTCATTTTTAAGTTGAATGGTTTCATCAGTTTCAAAAATAGTTTGAAAATTTTTGCAATTAATCTGACGTAAATTTCCAGATTTAGATAATAATTAAGGATGAACGTTACAGGTTGTTTTTATTTGTCAAACATGTTTGAAAAGTTGGAAAAAATCCAAGTTTAAAAAAAAATACATAGGTAGCATTCCAACACATTGTTTCTACATTAGCTAGTGTCTGTGGTTAGCCTGTAGGAATCCTGTTACAATGTATTTCTCATGACAAGATAAAAATTCATTAACAATAGTATCTATGGTTTTAAGTTTCAACATTACATGACAAACCAGATAGCAGAAGTGTAACTCTTAAAATCATGTTAACAATGATGTAGCAGTCTTTGGCTGACAGCTCATCAAGCTTTGTTAGTTTCAGGGACTGTCAAACAACTTTTTTCCAAATGTTCCAATATTTCAGTATTGATTCTGATAAGTCAGATCAAGGCATAATATGCATTTGTTTTAATTTAGGCCAGTTTATAGTAAGGCAATAACCATCATAAAATTTAAAGTATTTCGACCATTGTCTGTTCTGAGTATCACACTTACTATTATAGATACCTGAAACTATCATGAAAAAGTACTCTGATGGTTATAGTGTTTAATATCAAGTATGTTTCCATGGTTGGTTTATAATCTCCATGTGAAAGGAAACCAGAGTACTAAGGGAGAAATGTGTTCTGACATGCAATCTGAGAGTGAAAGGGATGTTTTATGTAATATACAATAAAAAGGGACAAAAATTGACACTAGACATACAACAGTATCCTTTACTGACACTAGACAGACAACAGTATCCTGTACTGACACTAGACAGACAACAGTATCCTGTACTGACACTAGACAGACAACAGTATCCTGTACTGACACTAGACAGACTAGAGTATCCAGTACTGACATAGACAGACAACAGTATCCAGTACTGACATTAGACAGACAACAGTATCCTGTACTGACACTAGACAGACAACAGTATCCTGTACTGACACTAGACAGACAACAGTATCCTGTACTGACACTAGACAGACTAGAGTATCCAGTACTGACATAGACAGACAACAGTATCCAGTACTGACACTAGACAGACAACAGTATCCTTTACTGACACTAGACAGACTACAGTTACCTTTACTGACACTAGACAGACTACAGTATCCTTTACTGACACTAGACAGACTACAGTATCCTTTACTGACACTAGACAGACAACAGTATCCTTTACTGACACTAGACAGACAACAGTATCCTTTACTGACACTAGACAGACTACAGTATCCTTTACTGACACTAGACAGACTACAGTTACCTTTACTGACACTAGACAGACTACAGTATCCTTTACTGACACTAGACAGACTACAGTATCCTTTACAGACACTAAACAGAGTACAGTATCCTACACTGATACTAGACAGACTACAGTATCCTGTACTGACATTAGACAGACAACAGTATCCTTTACTGACACTAGACAGACTACAGTTACCTTTACTGACACTAGACAGACAACAGTATCCTTTACTAACACTAGACAGACTAGAGTATCCTTTACAGACACTAGACAGACAACAGTATCCTGTATAGACACTAGACAGGCAACAGTATCCTTTACAGACACTAGACAGGCAACAGTATCCTTTACAGACACTAGACAGACTACAGTATCCTACACTGATATTAGACAGACCACAGTATCCTTTACTGACACCAGACAGACTACAGTTACCTTTACTGACGCTAGACAGACTACAGTATCCTTTACTGACATTAGACAGACTACAGTATCCTTTACTGACACTAGACAGACTACAGTATCCTTTACTGACACTAGACAGACTACAGTATCCTTTACTGACACTGAACAGACAAGAGTATCCTGTACTGACAGTAGACAGACTACAGTATCCTTTACTGACACTAGACAGACTACAGTATCCTTTGCTGACACTAGACAGACAACAGTGTCCTTTACTGACACTAGACAGACCACAGTATCTTACACTGATACTAGACAGACTACAGTATCCTTTACAGACACTAGACAGACCACAGTATCCTACACTAATACTAGACAGACAACAGTATCCTGTATTGACTTTAGACAGACTACAGTATCCTTTACTGACACTAGACAGACTACAGTTACCTTTACTGACACTAGACAGACTACAGTATCCTTTACAGACACTAAACAGAGTACAGTATCCTACACTGATACTAGACAGACAACAGTATCCTGTATTGACTTTAGACAGACTACAGTATCCTGTACTGACACTAGACAGACTACAGTATCCTTTACTGACACTACACAGACTACAGTATCCTACACTGATACTAGACAGACAACAGTATCCTGTATTGACTTTAGACAGACTACAGTATCCTTTACTGACACTAGACAGACTACAGTTACCTTTACTGACACTAGACAGACTACAGTATCCTTTACTGACACTACACAGACTACAGTATCCTACACTGATACTAGACAGACAACAGTATCCTGTATTGACTTTAGACAGACTACAGTATCCTTTACTGACACTAGACAGACTACAGTATCCTTTACTGACACTAGACAGACTACAGTATCCTACACTGATACTAGACAGACAACAGTATCCTGTATTGACTTTAGACAGACTACAGTATCCTTTACTGACACTAGACAGACTACATTATCCTTTACTGACACTTGACAGACTACAGTATCCTTTACTGACACTGGACAGACAAGAGTATCCTGAACTGACAGTAGACAGACAACAGTATCCTTTACTGACATTAGACAGACAACAGTATCCTTTACTGATACTAGACAGACAACAGTATCCTTTACTGACACCAGACAGACTACAGTATCCTTCACTGACACTAGACAGACTACAGTATCCTGTGCTGACATTAGACAGACAACAGTATCCTGTGCTGACACTAGATTGAAGGACAGCAGATAGACTTCAGTTTATTCTATAAGAACAGCAGATAGACTTCAGTTTAATCTATAAGGACGGCAGATTGACTTCAGTTCATTCTATAAAGACAGCAGATTGACTTCAGTTTATTCTATAAGGACGGCAGATTGACTTCAGTTCATTCTATAAGAACAGCAGATAGACTTCAGTTTAATCTATAAGGACGGCAGATTGACTTCAGTTCATTCTATAAAGACAGCAGATTGACTTCAGTTTATTCTATAAGGACGGCAGATTGACTTCAGTTCATTCTATAAAGACAGCAGATAGACTTCAGTTTATTCTATAAGGACAGCAGATAGACTTCAGTTTATTCTATAAGAACAGCAGATAGACTTCAGTTTATTCTATAAGAACAGCAGATAGACTTCAGTTTAATCTATAAGAACAGCAGATAGACTTCAGTTTATTCTATAAGAACAGCAGATTGACTTCAGTTTATTCTATAAGGACAGCAGATAGACTTCAGTTTATTCTATAAGGACAGTTGAAGGGTGTCAGTTTATTCTATAAGGACAGCAGATTGACTTCAGTTTATTCTGTAAGGACAGTTGAAGGGTGTCAGTTTATTCTATAAGGACAGCAGATTGACTTCAGTTTATTCTATAAGGACAGCAGATTGACTTCAGTTTATTCTATAAGGACAGCAGATTGACTTCAGTTCATTCTATAAAGACAGCAGATTGACTTCAGTTGACTTCAGTTTATTCTATAAGGACAGCAGATTGACTTCAGTTCATTCTATAAGGACAGCAGATTGACTTCAGTTCATTCTATAAGGACAGCAGATTGACTTCAGTTCATTCTATAAGGACAGCAGATTGACTTCAGTTCATTCTATAAGGACAGCAGATTGACTTCAGTTCATTCTATAAGGACAGCAGATTGACTTCAGTTCATTCTATAAGGACAGCAGATTGACTTCAGTTCATTCTATAAGGACAGCAGATTGACTTCAGTTCATTCTATAAGGACAGCAGATTGACTTCAGTTCATTCTATAAGGACAGCAGATTGACTTCAGTTCATTCTATAAGGACGGCAGATAGACTTCAGTTTATTCTATAAAGACAGCAGATAGACTTCAGTTTATTCTATAAAGACAGCAGATTGACTTCAGTTCATTCTATAAGGACAGCAGATTGACTTCAGTTCATTCTGTAAGGACAGCAGATTGACTTCAGTTCATTCTGTAAGGACAGTTGAAGGGTGTCAGTTTATTCTATAAGGACAGCAGATAGACTTCAGTTTATTCTATAAGGACAGCAGATTGACTTCAGTTCATTCTATAAGGACGGCAGATAGACTTCAGTTCATTCTATAAAGACAGCAGATTGACTTCAGTTTATTCTATAAGGACAGCAGATTGACTTCAGTTTATTCTATAAGGACAGTAGATTGACTTCAGTTTATTCTATA